CCTAAAATAATAACCCCTAAAGTCTATAAATACTTCTTGTAAACACCTTACTAAGGGATCGGATCCACGATCGGTCTTCGGAATAAGAGAATACTGTCTTACGCTGCCATATTCTTTCATACTTTTCATACGTTTCTCATACCTTTTTGGTAGATTTAACTCTCGTAGTTGGATTAAACTTCATCATTTGGTGCTCTCGTTGAGAGGAGAATCTACAAGAAACAATGGTTGGATCAAATAGTCACAACCGTGCTAGTAGCAATCAAGGCGGGGATCGCTATAACCAAGTTGTGATCGAGGACGAAGGTTCGAGGTCGCGACACAGCGCTTTCTGAAGGCGTAATGATAACACCGCCGCGCAGGGTGATTTAAGAAACCAAATTCAAGGCGTGGGAATTCTAGGCACACGGCGGCACGGCCACCGCAATTCCAAAACCCGGGTACTAGACATGACATCCCCAACGTGGATCCGGCGCAGGCCCATGATAAGTCCGTATTTAGACAGGCATTTGATTTGTGTTGAGATCGGCTTTTGATGGTTTTCCTAGCTTTAAGGTGTTACACGTCTCAATTTTAGCTCAAGTTATGTTTACCGGGCGTTGGTTCGAGTTTTGTGTTGTTTGTAGTCAAAATCAGGGAATTTGAGCCCGATACCGGCACTTGAGGAACAATCGGGATGATTTGAGAAGCATTTGAGAATGATTTGATAGCTTTGGAGGTCACCGGAAGATTCACGATGAAGATTTGAAGGAAAAAGGCTCTAGGATTGGCTACGGGGTCAAAAGAAGATGAATGAAGCTTGAAAACGACGATAAGGATGACCTTCTGTCAATCGGGCAAGCATATCTCTTTGTAGAAGCATCCAATGAACACGATTTAAAGTCCACATGAAAGCCAACTTCAAGATCTACAAATCATATGAAGACATCATTCCTAGAATATGAGAGGAAGAAGATGAAAACAGACGATGAAGTCAGATGATCTCTGCTGCGATCTCAGAATGACACCTTCCACCGTTTTGATCATATCTCTTGATTGGATGATTCAAATCACATTCGGCAAATTGGGTTGGATAGAAGACTTCATCATCTACAACTTGCATGAAGAAAGTTATGTCAAATTCGGAAGTTTTACGCACGCCGTGCGTCCGGGTACGCACGCCGTGCGTCCAAGGCGTTAAATTGAAGGGAGCTACTGGCAGCAACGCACGGCCGTGCGTCCGGGTACGCACGCCGTGCGTTCAAGGCGATAAAACGATGAGAAGCTACTGGCAGCAACGCACGGACGTGCGTAGGGGAACGCACGCCGTGCGTTGCCTATTTTCACGCGGACATCCGTCGGACGCACGGACGCAACGCACGCCGTGCGTAGGCTCCGTGCGTACCACGGATCTGTCCTTTTTCGACCCAAACTCATTGTTTTCTATAAATAAGGCTTCCCTAACCTCGTTTTGAGGTTCGGAAACCTAGAGAGAAGATTAGGGACGTGTTTTACAGTATTTTTCCGCTATTTTGTTCAAGACCCTGAGATTCTTTGTAAGTTTCAATTCTTTAATTAATGACAATTAATTCTATTCATCCCAATTCTTTAGATTCGTCAATTATGAGGCGTGAGTAGTTTAATTAGGGATTTGGGGTTGATGAAGGGGTTAATCATGATGTATGGCTAGATTCTTGTCGGTCTAATTGCATGAATGCCGTTTAATTTGTGTATGAATAATTTAACTGATATCTCTTGTAACCTAGATGGCCACTAGAATTACAATTGCTTATAGAATAAATTAAGAGAGATCTAATTTGTTCTATGACACATTCACACACACCTAATCGTTCGCTAAGAGATTAGTAGCGATTAAGGGGCTGTAAGCTCGCTCGTTTTGGCAATAATTTAGGATCTTGTCGCATGAGAGATCAGCCTGGACTCCTAAATTATTGTACTCTACGCCGCGAGAGCGGTAAGAACTTAGTAATGATTAGCTAGGCTCAATTAAATTAAATTCATGTGATTAGGCCTGTTCTGCCAGAAATCTGGTTAACCCCGGAATCAATTTCTGTTCCCTTAGTCGTTAATTAAGGAAAACCAAATCTTTTTATTCGCTCATTAGCGTTAGTGATGGATAGTCTACCCGGGGGGTATCTTATCCGAGGGGTTATCGCGGGAATAACTTAGAGAGAAGTCCGAGCAAATAGGAGGAGAGAGAGTCGATTTTATTAAATGAACTCGAGATGTGGAGGTGAGATGTAGATCGTGTTTTACAAGGAGAAATGGGCTGCTATTTATAGCAGCAATAAATGCGATGAGGGGACACGTGTCAGTAATCCAACGGCCGAAGGGTCACATCAGCCGGTTGGCACCGGCAGTGGTACGTTCACCGCATTGAATGCGGTTGGCGGATGTGACGTGGCATTAAATGCGGTGGTTGGCTGTCTCCAAAAGGAATCTTCGATGATTGAGCATGCTTGGCCGAAGGCTTCTGGTGTAGCCGAGGGCTCCGTGTAACCGAGGACCCCTGTGTAGCCGAAGGCCTTGTGTGACCGAAGGCTTTGTTCAGCCGAAGGCCTCTCTGATGCCGAGGGCTCGATAATACCGAAGGCTCATGTTTTTCGCCGTTTTCTCCCAGTAGCTTCTTATGCTAGAGAAGGCTATCCTGTGAGTTTTGGAGCCTTCGGCCAAGGAGGCCGAAGGCACCCCAGTGTGTGTTCTGGGTTACTTTGAGGCTCGGGCCGTTGCATTTGGGCCTGAGTTGTTCTCTGGGCTCAATGGACTTGTGTAGGAGAAGTAGGAGTCCATGGGCCGGGGGTTCCCGGGCCATATACTCCATCAGGAGTCCCTCACTCCTTTTGCCGAAAGGTACTTGAGGGAAAAGGAGTAGATGTGTTGGTTCTTCCGGAGGCTGCATCATTTCGTTGGGTGCCTTTGTTGGAGAACTCGTCTTCTGCTGATTGCCGAAGGCTTCCCCCAGTCCCTCACATGCCGAGGGTTTTCTGAAGGAAGTATAACGTTTGTATGAATGCCGGAGCCTCTCCTCAGTCCCTCACATGTCGAGGGTTTTCTGAGGGAGGCGTAAATAATATCTGTATGTGTTGTGATGAGGGCTGCCTCATTTTTGTTAGTGACTGTGGAAAATTTCTGACATTTTGCTTTGCCGAAGGGTGTAATGGTGTACGCACCCGAGGGATGCATGTGTCATTTGTAGGTTTCTTGTATGTGGCACATTTTCATTTTTAGTCGGGTGTGTTTCCCGAGGGGTGTGTCCCAGTCCCCCACTCCTTTAGGCCGAAGGCAAGTTCGGGGTGAAGGAGTTATGATGTGTTGGTGGAACCCGTTGTCTGAGGGCTGCGGAGAGTGATAACCGGAGGCTATCATTCGAGGGCGTCCCAGTGTTGTCGAAGTATAGTGGTTGTAATATAGCCGTTGGAAAAGAGCCGTTGGAGGGGGGTTCCACGTGGCGTGATTCAGTTGGCGGGTGCCACCCATTGGTTGAACCGGCGGCGTGTAATGATGGGCTTTCGAGTTGAGGCCCAGTTCTCGAGGCCCATCTGCCTATAAATACCCCAAGGCAGAGCTCAGTCCTCCTTGTGCGTTCATAAACTCTAGCGAAGCTCTGCCGAATTTTCTAGAGAGAGAAACCTTTGCCTTCGATCAAACGCGACTCTTGAGGTCAGTTCTTCCTCCGCTCTTTGTTTCCCTAGTGCTTTCAGCTTTTGTCGTCCTTAGGCTAAACGTTAGAGTCGCCTAGGAAGCCCTCTGTTTTAAACCCTTCGGACATGTCTTCGCAAAGCGATTCTCAAAATATTTCCAAAGAGCCTTCGGTGCAGTCCGAGAGTATATCCGAGGTGGAATCCTCGAGTGAGACACTGTCGGCCAATAATGACCACGTGGTAGCTGAGGAGGTTCAAAACGCTCTTCGGGCCGAGATGGAGGCCGAAGACTTCGAGCAAGTGAATGAGGACGAGGAGCTGGCCCTCGCAATCCAAGTGGCCGAGGAGGAGGAGGAAAAGGAGAGGAAGAAGGTCACCATTGCCGTCCTACCTGCTCATAATGACGCCGATGCCGGAAGCTCCAGACCCCTCGATCCGGAACCCCTGAGTGTGGCTCCGGGCAAGAGGAAGAAGAAGACCAGGGGGCCCTCGAAAAGGAAACAAGCAGCTGTTGACGCCGGAAGGCCCGTAGGGATACCCGAAGGGCACTCATATCTGAACACTGCTGCTCTAGAGGTGAGGACGAAGGCCACACATGCGGAGTACGTGGCGACACAGTTCTTCGTTGGGCCTTCGGCACAGGTGGTGGAGCCGGGGCCGAATGACGTGCTTCTTCACGCCCCCGCCGGCTGTTTCGCGGTGCATATCCTGTCGGTGGAGCTGGGCCTCCGGTTCCCCCTCCATCCCTTCGTGCTACAATATCTCCGCTTTGTTAAGCTCGCCCCTTGCCAGTTGACTCCCAATAGCCACTCTTATCTGGCGGGGTTTCTGTCCCTATGCCGGGAGAGGAAGGTAGAGCCTTCTTTGGACCAGTTCTTCCTGTCGTTCAACCTTTGCCGGGGAGGGCACTCTAATGCCGGGGGGTTTGCCAACTTGCAACAGATCCCCGAGTTCAGACTGTTTTCCGAGGTCCCTTCGTCCCACAAGGGATGGAAGGACAAGTTCTGCTATGTTCGAATGGCGGAAAATCCATTCGCCGCCCCCCTTCGGGACAACTTCAAGAGGCACCCGAAGGTCGGGAATGCTGCTCTTGTGAAGAATGGGAGGAAGCTGGCCGAGAAACCGGAGGGGTCAGACAAATTGAAGACCATTAAGGATGCTACCCTCCCGGAAGAACTCTTCAAGCTTAGCTTTCGGCGGTTCCGCTTGATGGGGGAGGCTGATGAGGAGTACCCCCTGATAGACAGGGTTTATGAGAGCGCCGAAGGTGATCGCCGGGGGCTTCTAGTTGTGTACTTAGGAATTTCTTGCTTTTCTTACTTCATTGTTCTGTTCTAATATTGGAATGCTTTTTTGCAGGCCCCGAGATGGACGCGAAGAATTTCGCCAGGCTGAAGAAGCAGTTGGCCAAGGAGCCAAAAAAGAAGGAGGCTGGGTCACATAAGCCCGTTGATGAATTCTTCCGCAAGGATGAGGCCGCCCAGGCCCAAATCGCCGGGACCCCCTCCAAAGATGCCCCCGAAGCTGGTGCCATCAAAACCGAGGTGGCAAAGAGGAAAGCGCCCGGCAAAGGCGTCGTTCCCGAAGGCAAGAAAGTTAAGAAGTCTGTCAGTGCGAAGGGGGAGCCGGTGGTTTTATCCGAAGGTCATTCCTCTTCCGGCACGCCGGTGGTGATTGCTACTGCCAACGCTCCCTCGGGTCGGGGGGCTGAATTGACATGGCCTACGGAGAACGTGCAATTCTCCATTACGAAGGGGACCGCCATTATGCACGGCACCCTCAACCCGAGGGAGTTTTTAAATGGCGCCACTCCCCCGACGGATAAGTCGGTGCTGTCCAGGATGAAGGACGATGCCCTCGGCGGCAAGATCCTACAAGCTTCCGTCACTGTAAGATTTTTCCCTTCCTTCTTTTGACTTAGTCCGTTTTGTTTAACATATTTTGATTTCCGAGCTTTGACCCTCGTTGTTCGATGATTCGATTTTGCAGGCTGCCCTCGGACTTGGTGAGCTCCTCAAGAGGTTGGAGGAATCACAGGCCCAGAAGCGGCAAGCCGATGAGGCCCTGGCAGAGTCCCGGAGGCAGCTTCGTGAGGCCCGGGAAGCCCTTCGGCTGGAACAAGAGGCCTTCAACCAAATCCTTGAGAATAGCAAGGTTATTGCCAGAGCCGAGGGGAAGGCGGATGCTGAGAGGGTGGCTGCTGAGGAGGCCAAGAAGGTTGCTGACAAGGCCGAGGAGGAAAAACGGGAGGCTATCGGTCAGGCGAAGAAAGATGCCGTTTCTGAATTTGTCGCTGGGGGATGGAAATCCGAGGGCCACAAGCAGTGGATAGCCTCGGTAATCGAGGAAAGCGTCGACGGCTGGGTCGGTGGCCCCGGGGTGATGTGGCTAGCTCAGAAGGGGAAGAGCTATTACGAAGGCGGTGAGTACTTCACCCAAGCCAACATCTACCGGAAGCTGGCTCGGCATTTCAATGTTGATCCGAAGACGTTCAAGCCAGAAGCCTACGGCCTTCCGCCCCTTCAGCCCGATGTGCGGATCCCTCTGCCCGAAGGCGAGGAAAGAGAGCTGCTTGAAGATTCTGAGCTAGCGAAGGAGGCCGATGACGAGGAAGTTGAAGATGACGCAGCCTCCAGGTCAAAAGGAGGCAATCATGAAGCTGCCCCTTAGGAAATTCATGTTTTCAATCTCTTTGTAATAGATCAGCGCTTCATCGGCTTCGGCCATTTGTAAACAAACATTTCTGCAACTCCCCAACAATTATCATGAATGTTCGCCTTCGGGTTTTGTTTTGTTATATGAATGGTTGCCTTCATTTTCGATTCTTCTGTGTGAATGTATGCCTTTCTTCACTATGTATTTTTTCCCGGAGGCCATAAGTTTGTGGACTTAGAAATTTTTCTAAGTGTAACTCCCTGCTAGCCCCCGGTTGTAGAGTAGAATCGCTGGGGGGTCGTTGTTGTGGACTTAGAAAGAAAATTTTCCAAGTGTGAAACCATTCATGAGCCCCCAGTCGTATATTGAGGTTGCCGGGGGCTTGTCGTTGTGGACTTAGAAATTTTTCTAAGCAAAACTTTTGTCAAAACCCTTCGGCTGCAAAGCAGAACCTCAGAAATGAAATTGTATCTTATGTCCTCGGAAATGCTGAGCCTTCGTCAGTAGTGTAGCTTTAGGTCATCGCCAAGTAGTTTTAGGGGCCATCGGCAATGAGTGTGTAGTTGAAGAATTGCCCCCCCGAAGGGTCTACATTTGTGGACGTAGTCATTTTTTCACGAAGTTTTCAATAGATGCTGTAGGGGACCTTCGAGTGTGAGACGTGCATGGCCGTCGGGGGATAGCACAAAATCAGGACCCCTCGGGTGCAATGTGGGATTACCGGGGGGTCGTTGTTGTTTTTTAGACTTAGTCAAATCTCCCCCAGATTTTCAATAGGCATTGTAGTGAGCCCTCAGATAAAGGAGTTTGATGAATCTCCTGCCGTTGTAGGTCTTATGAACTTGTTCCACCGATCCGAGGGCTTGCCTCCGAATGTGAGATAGACTAGCTTCATCGTGTAGTAAGCTTTTGAAAAGGGGGAGCCTTCGGCATATCATTTGCCGCTTAGTCTCACTGAAAATTTGGACTTAGCCAAGTTTTGGTGAAGTTCTGTTGGTGAGGCCTCTTCGTGGGCTTCCGGGGGAACCGTTTGTACTCCGAGCCTTCGGCTATGTAGCCAGACGACTTGTCGCCGAATGATTTTCTTGTGCCTTTGTAGGAGCCTTCGGTAATATATATCCGAAGTGTTGAGCCTCCGGGGAGAATAGTATCCGGGGAGTTTCCTTCCCCCCTACACATCTTTTTTTTTTTTTTTTTTTTTTTTTTTTTTTTTTTTTTTTTTTTTTAGATGGTGTAGGAGAGGCATCTAGAAACTTGGTGTCTAGGAAAGGCTTGGCCTATATGGGAGGCAACGGAACAAACCGTTGGCTCCCCCTTCGGGAATGACCTTCCGATATCCCGAAGGGTTTGAGGGTCGTTTCCTCGGCCCGAGACATCGTCTGTTGCCTGCTTCCCCTTGGGAGATAGCGCGGAAAGCGCCTCGGTTTTGAAAGTCGTCCCCTCAGCCCGAGACATGGTCTGTTGCCTGCTTCCCCTTGGGGGATAGCGCGGGGAGCGTTTCGTTTGTGGAAGTCGAATCCTGGGCCCGGGACATGGTCCGTTGCCTGCCTCCCCTTGGGGGATGGCGCGGAAAGCGTTCCTGGGAAGGGTTTTATTTGTGTGTGGGACACAAATAGCCGGGGGTACTTGGTACCAGCCGGAGCCGAGGGGTATTGCAACCCCCGGTTTTTTTTTTTTTTTTTTTTTTTTTTTTTTTTTTTTTTTTTTTTTTTATGAGAGTATGTAAAAGTATGCATAATGTATGCATGGTTGCGTCCTCGTGGGGTACGGCTTAGTGAGAAAACACTTGGTGTTTTCAAAGAGTGATGGGGGTGACCCATACACTTGGTACTTGGTACCTAAATTGTTGTTCCCCTTCCTGAGAGGAAGAGGCCTCGGGTCTATTTTGGTGAAGAGATGAGGGCTTGGCCACTCATTTGTAGGAGAGAAAAGGGGGCCTTGGGCCGCTTGTACAATATGTATGTGATGAAGGCTTGGCCTTTTGATTATTCTTCAAAAACAGATGGGGCCTTGGGCCATTGATATTTACACTTGTTGAGGATGAGGGCTTGGCCGCTCATTGATAAAACTTTACCAGGTGGTGCACATTCCAATGTCTAGGAATCTCTGTCCCATTAGGACGTTTTAATTTGTATGTCCCCGGTTTGATGATGGCTGAGACAATATAAGGGCCTTCAAACTTGGGTGCCATCTTCCCTCCTTCGGTGGGTAGACTGGCCTCCCTTCGTCGGAGGACGTAGTCACCCACCTGAAATTCCCGGGAGCGGACCTTGGCGTCGATGTAGCCCTTGACTTGTCTTCTATAGTTTTCGGCCCTGAGGAAAGCTTGCTCTCGGCGTTCTGAGATGAGATGAAGGTCGAGGGCCATGTTGGCGTCGTTGACCTCGGGATCATATTGTTCCACCCTTCGGGTGGGAAGAGTCACTTCTGTTGGAGCCTTAGCCTCAAAGCCATAGCATAGGGAGAATGGTGTTTCGCCTGTTGCGCGCCGAGGGGTGGTGCGGTAGGCCCATAAGATGTTGTGTAGCTCTTCTACCCAGCCTCCCCCTTCGGCTTCCAGCTTCTTCTTCAATCCTTCGAGGAGAGTGCGGTTGGCATTTTCTACTTGTCCATTGCCCTGAGGGTAGGCAACGGAAGAGAATGTGTGCTTGATGCCCCAAGCTTCAAGGAGGGCACAGAAGGGGGCCGCCTCGAACTGAGTCCCGTTGTCGGAGATAATTTGTTGGGGGACGCCAAACCTTGTGAGAATATTTTTGAGAACGAAGTGGCGGCACCGGGCCTCAGTGATGCTGGCGAGGGGTTCGGCCTCCACCCATTTGGTGAAGTAGTCAATGGCAACGATGATGTGCCTATTGTTGGAGGTACCCCTCGGCAGAGGGCCTACAAGGTCGATACCCCATCTGGAGAAGGGTATGGCGGTGCTGATGGGGGCGTAGTTGACCGCGGGCCTGCCGGGGGCCTTCTGAAAGTGTTGGCAAGCGGTGCACCTTCGGGCTAGATCAGCACAATCCCTAGCCATCGTGGGCCAGAAGTAGCCTTGAACTATGAGCCTTCGGGACATGGAGAAAGGTCCCTGGTGAGCTGAGCAAGTGCCACTGTGCACTTCCTCCATGGCGACTTCGGCCTCGTCTTGATGAAGGCACCGAAGGAGGGTGCCGTTGTAAGATCTCTTGTAAAGCCTCCCGTTTTCGATGGTGTAGCTGGGAGCCCTCAGTTTTGTCAATCTCGCGCGGGCCTCATCTTGGGGTAGTTGCCCCGTGGTGATGAAGGTGGTGATGTCGGAGATCCAATCCTCTGGTCTCAGGTTAATGTTCATAATGGGGCTTGCGTGGATGCTTGAGAGGCTGAGCTCCTCGATTCTTGCAATTTTTGAGAGGTGCTCGGGGGATTCATCCGAGAGCTTGGATAGAATGTCGGCCTCAGAGTTTTGAGCCCTCGGTATTTGGGTGAGAGAATGTGCCTCAAACACCTCGAGCAACTCCTTAGCCGCTTCTTTGTATTGTTTCATCCTTCCTTCCTTGGCTTCGTATTCCCCGGAAATTTGACCCACAACAAGTTTGGAGTCACACTTGACGTGGATCATCTTAGCCTTTAGATTTGCTGCCAGCCGAAGGCCACAGAGGAGGGCTTCGTACTCGGCCTCGTTGTTGGAGACTTTGAAGGAGAAGCGAATGGCATAATATGCGCGGAAGCCTTCGGGCGTAATGAGGACTACCCCTCCTCCGCATGCTTTGGTGGCTGAGGAGCCATCGGTGTAGAGGGTCCACCACTCATCAAGGGGTGCCGAAGGCTCCTCAGCCACCGCTGATCTCGCGGTGCACTCCGTTACGAAGTCTGCCAGGGCTTGGCCCTTAATGGCAGGCCTTGGACGGATATCTATGTTGTATTGGCTGAGGAAGATGGCCCATTTCACCATCCGAGAGGAGCTAGTGGGACTCCTTATGAGGGCGCCGAGGGGTTGATGAGTGAGCACTTGGACCGGATGAGCTTGAAAGTAGTGGCCAAGCTTCTTGACGGTCCAAACGATGGCTAGCACCGTCTTCTCGACGGGAGAATACCTGAGTTCGGCTTCCCGGAGGGTTTTGCTGACGTAGAAGATGGCATGTTGGACGCCGTCTTCTTCTCGGATTAGCACTGAACTGATGGCCGCAGGGCTAACGCCGAGATACAAGTACAAAGTCTCCCCCACCTTTGGTTTGGAGAGCACCGGGGGAGAAGAGAGGTACTTCTTGAGTCCGTCAAAGGCCTCTTGACATTCAGATGTCCATTGAAAACCCGCCGTCTTCCTCATGATTTGGAAGAAGGGGAGGGCCCTCTCGGCTGATTTGGAGAGGAAACGGTTAAGGGCTGCCAAGCGACCCGTCAGCCGTTGAACTTCCTTGACGTTGCGTGGAGGCTCCATGTTGATGATGGCCTGAATCTTCTCGGGGTTGGCCTCAATACCCCTTCGGCTGACCATGTAACCCAAGAATTTTCCTCCCTGCACGCCGAAGGTGCATTTCTTTGGATTTAGCCGGAGGTTGAATTTTTGCATGATGGCAAAAATCTCCCGG